ACTCCTGGAATGCTTATTGCATATATGCCTGACTGCCTGTCAGCCAGCTAGTAAATGAATGAAAGAATCAGTAAACCAGTCTCTCTACCAATATCTAATCCACTTTTTCCATTTAAGAAGAGAAATAGAGATGTCAAAATTCATCTAAAAGCTTCAGCAGACACAGGACAAGACGCGTGAATCTCAGGTTGTCTTACTGTAACCAGACTTGCAGCTGGAGTGACACTGTAATAAGAGGCAATGGACAGGAGTCGTGGGAACTATATTGGGGTAGTGTCACATCTTAGTGATAATAACCGTGTACGTGTGTAGACTTGGGGATATATGTGTGTGTGTGTGAGAGAGAGTTGTGTGTGTGTGTGTGTGTGTGTGTGTGTGTGTGTGTGTGTGTGTGTGTGTGTGTGTGTGTGTGTGTGTGTGTGTGTGTGTGTGTGTGTTGTGTGTGTGTTTTGTGTGTGAAAGATTATTTGACAAAGATAGATAAATAGATAGATAGATAAATAGAGAGAGAGAGAAAGAGAAAGAGAGAGAGAGAGACGACGAGAGCAATACCCAACCAAGAATGGGGCTATTTACAAGCGCACACATACATCTTCTGTTTCGCTTGCCCAACTGTTTCCTTCATAAATGTTTGATGTGGGAGTCAAAGCAATCGTTTCTGTTGGAGATGTGAAAGCATTTGAAAACTTCACACGCATCTTTAAGCCTTAGGTAATATAAACAGACGCTTGGGCAACATGTACATAAGATTTTCCTATGATACAGTATAAGACCTTATGATAAACTGCCTTATAAATTATCTTAAGACCCACTGATCTTATCTGATTAAGTATTGGCTTGAAATCTCCATGAAACTATGAATTTCACATGAATTTCATTTGAAATTATCTCGAAAGGAGGATGGTCGAGCAATAAGCGTAATGCAATTCTTGTCGTTAAATTATGTTGATGCTAAGATCGTATTGCAATAATATGCCTGAGCTACGAATATATTATTGAATAGAATTTTGCAATAATGCTGATGTTTGGGGTGACGAGTGTGTGTTTGGAGAACATTTATGAAAATGTATTTTTGTGAAGTGCATGTTTGTCTGCCATGTAAATAAGTATTTGTGTATGTATTTAATGCAGATGATGGATTTGTGACATTGTCTAGTATGGTATGAATAAATTTAAATAAATCTGCGTAAGTGCAGGAGATTAAGTATTTGTGATTGCAAGGACTGTTCTGGAGTTTGTGCTGTTGCAATACGTATATATATATGATCACAACCGGATCTTCCTTGTTGCAGACGAAGGGACTTGATAATGCTTGATACGTTGTGAAATTATCTCTCATATTCAGGGACACTTGGGACACCTGAGACTCGCGCCCGTCAGCCAATCACCGTTGACATCTCTCACGGTCTGCTGTGTGCTTGCATTTGATCACGATAATACAGTGCGACAGGGATGCTGTGATGCAACGCAGGAAGTAAATGGATCTGTTTCCAGTGTTTTAATTTACATTTCATTTTATTTTTTTTATCAGGAACAGCGTGTTTATTTGGTTGTAATGCATTAGGCATTGCATTGCGAAATAATATACTGTATACTGTACATCTCTGTATTGGAACAACAGTAAAAACAAATCAATGAAGCAAAAATATAGAACGCAGAAGAAAAAAAATCAAAAGGTACGTTTATTTAGTCACCATCTACTCAAAATATATAAACAAATCGACATTCTTCAAAATCTTTGTCTTATACTACATCCTTGTATCTTCCTCGGTTTTACGAAAATTATACTTTTGAAATTTTTGTTCTTGTGATGTATATACAATATATTGTAGTATGTTAAAGTACATGAAAGAATCTATTACTAAAATTCTGCAGTACCGGACATAAAGACTCTGGACTATGGCATTAATAAATCATGCTGCATCAACGTGATCAACAACACGATTGTATCTCTATATATAATACAGAATCAACATAAAGTACTCTTTTCGTGGCACGGGTGTAGGATGGTTTGAATTGCACTGATGACTGTACAGGGGCGGCAGGATGCGGCGGCGGGGCGGCCAGGCGCGGACCAAGACGTAAAAAATATTCTTCGACCGTTTTCCAATTCTCGGAGGATTTGGATATCTTGACAGCCGCGTTGGGTTCCATTTGGATTTTTTTTTCCTTTTCTCACAAACCAATAAAGTTCACCGGAGGCAGATTTTTCCCCCCCTGAGTCGGCTCTGGATGTTCTTTTGTTCTGTTTTGTAGATATACAGGTTGATAGAATGTAAACACACACACACACACACACACATATATACATGCACACGCACACATAATATATACACATTATATCTATATCTATATCTATATCTATCTATCTATCTATCTATCTATCTATATCTATCTATCTATCTATCTATCTATCTATCTATCTATCTATCTATCTATCTATCTATCTATCTATATATATGTGTGTGTGTGTGTGTGTGTGTGTGTGTGTATATATATA